AAAAGCAGTCTGGTTATTGCTGCTAGCTGCTCCATTTACCTGCAGGCTACGGAAGCTAAGGGGTTTGCTTGGGAGTTACTATTAACTCTTAAGCAACCAGACAGTACAGTTATCCACCACCTACCGATCCCCGTGGGTGCCGGATAACTGGGAGTTTACTATATTATATATAAAATGTGTTTGCAGAGTAATTGGTTGATTCTACAATTGATGAATTTGCAAGCAAAAAAGCACAAAAAGTGAATGTGTAGTTTAATTTTATTTGACCAATTTGCCTCATTTAGGTAATTTTGGGTTCAGTGAAAATGCCTGTTTATTCTGTGTGTTTAAGCTATCCAATATTTTGTTAATGCACTTTATTAGTAATTAAAATGTTTTCATTTTATGTATTTCCGTAAAAAGTAGGCATGCACCGATACTAGTATCGGTGCCAATACAGAGTATATGTGCTCCAATACCTACTTCCAGTACCTTCATTGCTGGTCTATGTCTACTTACTTCCAGTACCGAAACTTCCGGTCAGAGGGAGCATGGAGCTTGTGACCCACCTCCCAGCTTCCTGATTGGCTAGGAAGACAGCTTCACATGTTTCAAGGCAGCCTGGCTTCCTAACAAGAAGACGGGCAGTATGTCATGACTTGCCTCCTGGCTTCCTGATTGGTCAGGAAGCCAGGCTACCTAGCAACAAGTGAAGCCAGGAGGTGGGTCATGACATGCCCCCTGGCTTCCTGATTGATTTGGAAGCCGACTCCACTTGTTGCTAGACAGCCTGGTTTTCTGACCAATCAGAAAGCCGGGCAGCACCTTATGACCTCCTGATTGGTCAGGAAGTCAGGCAGCCTCGAGAAGTAAAACCAGTGTTCTTTTGACATAACAGCGGCTTCCCAGGCAATCAGGAAGCCGGGCAGCGGGTCATGATCTCCCGCCCTGCTTCCTGATAGTCGGGGCGCACAGCACCGCTGTTGGTATTCAGTATCGGTGAGGATCGGAAAACATTTTTAGGCCCTCACCAAAATTCTTGCCATCAGGCCCATGATGCTCTTAATCAGACCCTGACCTTTAGGGTACCAAATAACGCATCATTTATAGATTTATTTTCAATCCAAACCTGCTTTTGGAATAAAATAACAAACAATGCCAGTTTAGAACATTGCTTCACTTCTTGTAAGACGCTCTCTTAAATTTAAGTTGACACAGTTAGCATCAGGTAACAGCAAACTATATAAGCCAGCAATGCAACAATAAACCAGGAAGTAGCTCTCATTGTAAAGCCATAAAACATGTCAGTCCTTTTACAACTGCAGCCTGGTGAAAATGAGTATAGTCACTGTGACTTTCATGGAAGAAAAAAAAACTTCCAATAAAATCTATACTGTTTTTATGATGAAAATAAATTATTCTGGATGTCTGGTTTGCCAAAGGAGCTCATTAGCATATTAAGGACATTGGCAGAGCTTAAAAACTGCAAAACAGTGTTCATATTTACAGCAAGCTAAAAATATACAAACATGATGCAGTGCTAAAATATATGAATATCTCTCTTTAAATTACATTTATCAATACAGATTATATATAATGTGTGTGTGTGCACTCCCCTTTCACCAACTGCTCCCGGTCTCTCAGATTGGAAGGGTTCTTTTTCCCAACTGCTGTTTTGAGATCTCTCCACGGGTGCTCTATGGGATTCAGATCTGGACTCATTTCTGGCCAGTCCAGTACTCTCCAGCGCTTTGTAAGAAACAATTTCTGGGTGCTTTTTGACGTGTGCTTTGGGTCATTGTCCTGCTGTAAGACCCATGACCTCTGATAGAGACCCAACTTTCTGACACTGGGCTCTACATCGCACCCCAGAATTCTTTGATAGTATTCAGATTTCATAATGCCATGCACACAGCCAAGACATCCAGTGCCTGAAGCAGCAAAGCAACCCCAAAACATAAGTAAACCTCCACCATGTTTGACTGTAGGGACTGTATTTTTTTTACTCATTTCTTTTTCTGAAAACAGTAGAATGATGGGCTGCACCAAAAACCTGTCATTTTGTTTCGTCTGTCCACAGCACAATCTCCCAAAATTTTGGCTTCCTCCAGTAAGTTTTGGCAAACTCCAATCTGGCTTTTTTATGTTTCTGCATCAACAGTGGGGCCCTCCTGGTTCTCCTACCATAGCGTCCTTTTTCATTCAGATGGCAACGTATAGTGCGAGCTGACACAGTTGTACCCGGTGCCTGAAGGTCAGCTTGAATTTGTCTGGAAGTTGGGGGTCTTTATCCACCATTCGAACAATCCCTCAAGCAATCTTTGATCAATTGTTCTCTTTCGTCCACGTCCAGGGAGATTAGCTACAGTGCCATGGGCAGTACACTTCTTGACAATGTTGCGCACAGTGGACACAGGAACATTAAGATCTCTGGAGATGGACTTGTAACCTTGAGATTGTCCATGCTTTTCCACAAAAACTTGGAATGCCTTTATTTCTTGCAATTTGGAGAAGGTGGCAATAATTTTATCCAATCCATTTTTGACGTTTTTTTATGGAATGTGTCAGATTTGGCTTTTTTTTCTCTTTTTCTCTTTTTTTCACTTTTTTTGTGTCATACCAATACAAACAAAATAAATAAACATGAGAATGCCTAAACATTTGTAATTGCAACAATTTTCTGCGCAAAGTGGTGCTTTATCTGACATAAATGTAGCCAATGTGCCTGTATATATATTGAATAAGACATCAGTGTAGAGACTTGTACAAGTGTAAAGGGCATCGTTAAAACCCACAGTTCACTTGTGAGTTATCAGTATTATATAGTGAAATAAATGTTCTATGTAATCAACAAAGTGGTCTTGCACTTTTAAATAGTGCAACAACATTTGGATCATATAAATTTATATTATGTATTTATAAAACATCTGACATATTTGGGTTTTTTAACACTAATATTAAAATTATGTACCATGTATATATTTTCAATGAGGGGTGAAAATCACAGAAGGATTTAAGAGTTTTTTCATATTTACTGTATGGCCATGTGAATATGTATTGTATGTAACATCATGTGGGCTCATCCATTGCTACTTTCATCCTCTACTCCGACACATTCATAACAGGTCACACTTCCCTACAACTCTGCTCCTACATGATCTTCTTTGGCCTGCTTGGTAGCACACAGTCTCTACCTGAAAACTCAGCACAGGTACCCATGCATGGGAGCCACCGCCTTGTGAATGCTTTGGTATTGCCGAGAAGACTTCAGACAGGGCTGCAAGGTACCAAACAGACTTTACAGGAAAAGGCTCAGAACTTGGTTTGAAAAAAGTAAACTCCCTTTTATGATGTGTCAGAGGAGAAAAGAAGAAGATAAGTCACCAGCACTCCAAAATCCTTGATCATTATGTCTTTATTGATGCTTAGTCATCTTATCACAGAAAATGAGACGTTTCAGGGAGGGGCGTCCCTTTAAAGAGGTAGCCTGAGGCAAAGGGTGGCATCTCTTTGGGTCATGTGGGGGGACTACACAATGTTTGCAGTTTTCTGCTTCCCCTTTCTGGTCAGAGCGTCCCAGGTTGCTAAGAGTCCAGCGGGGAGATGTGTAAGGACCATCCACATCTCCCCACCCAGAATGGGGTGTATTGACAACCAACTGGGATGGAATATGGTCCACTGACAGCCTATTGGACTGGGATGTGGGGGGACTGACAACCCATTAGGCTGGGATGCGGTGCATTGACAACCCATTGGGCTGGGATATGGTGGATTGACAACCCACTGGGTTGGGATGTGGTGTATTGACAACCCACTGCTTTGGTATCTGGTGCATTGACATCCTATTGGGCTGATATATGGTGTGCTGACAGCCCATTGGGCTGAGATATGGTGCACTGACAGCCCATCGTGCTGGGGTATGGTGCGTTGACAGCTAATTGGGCTAGGATGTGATAGATTGACAACCCATTGGGCTGGGATGTGGTGTATTCACAGCCAATAACGCTCATTATTGCATGCCCATTAAAGCACCAAAGCAGTGTGATTCTGCCATTTCTATATAAAATTACTGCTTACCTGTTTTGCAGGGTAAAATCTCTGAAAAACTTCCACAAACATTGGTAATCATCTGATTTTCAGCCTGAGCAAGTTTAGTAACTAGGTTAATAGGCTCCTGTCTAAAACTGACCCTTGTTCGATATTCTACTGAGCATGTACAAAATGGCTGCCTCACCATCTGCCCAAATAGCAGTTAAAGCACTTTGGGTCTCCAGGGAGAAAAGCACTATACACATATAAATGATTAAATAAACAAATAACTTTTCCCTAGGTGATCTAAGCTCATTGTTAACTCGTGTATAATAATAATAATCATCCCATGCTGATTTCATCTGAGTTCTTACATTAAGGATAGCACTATGTTTCTGAGGTGAGGTACTTACAAAAAAAAGACTTCTCAGTGTTGCAATAGGAAAGTAAATACTTTAAAGAAAGCCTACGTCATTCAGTAAGATAATTTAGTGTAGTGGAGGATAATAGCTAGCTATCTTTAATCTCTGTGTACGGTGCTGCTACTGCCACTCCTTCCTGTTACTGGGGTAACTGATGTCTATAGTAACTCAGTGACTGGCAGCTCAGAGCAAGACTGGCTGGGTCATTTAAACAGGCAGAGACCGTGGACCAAAACCTAATTGCAGAGTTCTCTGCTACCGGCCACAGGATATAAATTGACAGCCAGAATGGAATCATTATCCACTAATAGCACAAACACAGAGGACCAGATTCATCATCTTCTTCCTTTTCTGACACAGATTAAACAGTTCAATACCCACATTGAAGGTGTACTAGGGGAATCTTCCCCTAAAAATACGGAAAGCTTAGAAGAATTGGTCTTTGCACTATGTCCACTAATGAATGATCTCAATAAAACTTTCTGCGAAAAGATAACTAGAACAACAGAAACTTTACAACCGACACGTCATCTCCTAAAGAGAATTCAAGACACGTTCCAGGAACTGGGCTCCGTGGCTGGTAAGAAAACATATGCACTGTCGATAGATAGATAGAGATAGATAGATAGATAGATAGATAGATAGATAGATAGATAGATAGATAGATAGATGATATTGACCTCTAAAAAAATAAGTTATTTCTGACAGTATAAATATTTAAAAAAATATATATATTGTTTTTCTTGACACTCATTTACAACAGCAGCATTGGGATACACTGGGCAACATTGCCCAATGCAGTCCCAACGCTAGAACAAGGCAATTTGCCTTATGTCCTATGGCTTCAGTTTAACACTGCGTTGGTGTGTGCAGAAAATATATAGGGCATGTTGCAGTTTTACTCAGTTAGTTCTGATGCGCTGTAATGCATAGCAATGTCCTATAGCACATAGAATCACATAGATGGAAGGAAGAAAAAAGCACTGTAAAGCATTTTAACAATGCATTGCAATGTACGGCAATGTACACATGCTGAGTAGCGCAAACAAGCTCTTAGGGCCCATTCACACTAGGGTCTTGTATTAATCGCATGGTACTGCGCAATGCACCTACCGTTCATTACAGTGTGGCACGTGCGTTGCAGTGCCATTCATTTCAATGCACCCAATGCACTACAGTGTGCGGTGCTGTAACACCGTGTGTTGTAGTGTGGTTCAAAAATGAGGTGCAGTTGATCCACTGAAATGAATGGCACCACAAAGCACCTGCCGAACTGTAATGCACGGTAGGTGCGTTGCGCAGTACCATGTGGTAATCGCACATCCCTGGTGTGGACAGGCCCTTAATGTTAGAAGTGATATTAAGGTGTATGAAATATTGTATGTTTTGTTTTCTTTACTTTAGGTTTTATAACAAAATATTTTTCTTGCAAAGTGTTACAAAAATGTTTTCAGTTGCAAAATCAATAAAGTCAAGCAACAAATTCACCCTTTTTTTACTTGAAACATTTTTTAAAGCATATGTTAATGTTATGTTAAAGCACATTTTTCTTTATGTTATGTATAGGGAAGGGTTAGACCTTGTGTTAGGTTGTTGTTCCTGTGTCCCTGATGACGAGATTGACTGCTCTATTAGTTTTGAAGATAGTCAACAAGACAGAAATAAAGGGGAAGTCCAAAAATTCTGCGTTGTCATTAGAGCAACAGATGAGGCAAAATCCTCCTATGGGGATGCCCGTTCCTGTGACAACTCTCTAAGATGGGAATTCTGGTTACTTTGGAGAGATTTCCTTTCATTTTCTATAGAACACGAAATGCAGCAAAATCTCCCCAGCTGGACACAGACAGAAAAAAAATACTTGATAAAACTAAAAGAAATTGTCTTTACATATACTTTTACATTATATTAATATGTCGTAATCATCAACCCCAAAGAGATGCAATGCAAATATTGTGCCCTGCATTCACTGCACCCTTGCTGCTCATCTCCTTCAATCAACAATTAATGTTCAATCCTTCAATTACATGTGTATACCCAACCAATTCCAGCCACAAAATATCAAGCTTGTTTTACACAAATCTATCAAGTTTTCAAATGCTTTATCCATTATGAAAATTTTCCTCACTTAATGTGTTCTCTGACACCCATCATCTGAGCAGGAAATTAGCAGAAATCTTCCAAAGGGTAGCAGAAGGCTAGGTGTAAATTGACTAGATAGATAAAGAGCACAGGCTGGGACATTGTGCTACATGATTTAAGATACTGCAGAGGATATAGCAGTGTAAAACTGGCCAAGCAGGACATTTTCACCAGGGATAATAGACCTAACTTGTGTATGCCTAACATTTGTTTTATCCTTGAGGATGGGGAGGGTGCTGTGAATGTAAGTGATATATAGTGTGAGGCGGCTTAGATACAAACTATTCTTGCACTTAGTTTTACATTTTTTTACACAATGCAGAATGCAGTAGTGCCCTGCGAACAAAATGTATCTCCAAGAACAGATAGTAAGAAACAGGTGTTTCTCTTTGAGCACCCCAAATTTAAAAAAAGCCTCATGAACATAAAATAAACAAATATAAATAAACAAAAGATATGAAACCTCAAAATAACACCTCTAACAAAAGTTTACTTTTTTAAAAGAAAGCCTTGCAGCAAGAAAAAACAAAGGAGTTTAATCTAAAATAAAGGCCCTATTAACATAAAAATATACACTCCAATAATAAATAGAAAACCCAAAAATGCTACCCCCAAAAAAAGTTTGCTATGGACAGGACAGCAATTAAAAGTGACCAGTGACCTAAAATGACCACAAAATACCAGAAGAATTAGCATTCAGATTGAAAGTAGAGTTCCTAAGTGACCCTAATCTCTCCCTGTGCAGTTGTCAGCTTTTCCTATGTTTTCCCTCCAACAGCTTCCAATTTATACTGTGACTGCCCTGTGCCCCCTTCCCCCCTTTATAGTGAGGGGGTTGTCTTAACCCAAACCTCCTAATTGGCCCCTGTAATTCTGCTGGCTATATTTTTCTAAACTATGGTTAAAAAAATTCTACAGAAAAATCGGAACATAAATTTGCCGGGTCTCACAAGATTTGTCTAGGACCCAATGTAACAGTGAACCCCAACCTCATTCCTATATATTTTCCTAACAGGGTTTTGGCCAGGGGAGCAGTAGAGAGAATCAGGGACTGGCAAAATAGTATGTAGTAAGTAGATTATCACAGCCTATGTTTACTTAAATGCAGCACAGCACAAAGCTACCCCTTTTTTAAGGCTCCATGTATATGAAGCTGTTTGGTTGTACAAATTTTGTCTCATATAGTTGTTCAATAATTTTTTTGCATATATAATGACAAAATTGCATTGTGTGCACCAGGAATGTGTGCACAACAGGTTCTTTTGACAAATGTGTATACAAGCCCCAAGGAATAGAGATAGTGCTCAATTTGCTAAGCTATAACAGAAGGATAAGGATCTGTATTTTAGCCATTTAACTAGAAATTTCAAATTGCATTGGGCTCATTGGACTAAAAATAACTTTCCCATTTTAAATAATAAGTATCCTTTTCACATGTGTTATTTCTGTGAATCGAGCTTATAATATAAAGAGAATCATCCCCTTCTTTGAGGCTGTAATTTAGTTAAGACATTATTATCTGATTAAAATTACTTTGAATATTTATTTCAAGCTGCTTAAAAGATTTATTGGTGAGAAGATTAGATACTATGGTTACAAACAAAGGCAGCAAGGTAACTCTTAAACTGCTTGCTATGGGGTTTGTGATGTAGATAAATCTTTGTAATATCCTCTTCGCACACCGTACCGTTATACCCCTGAATCCAACGGGTGCTGAAACAACTAGTGGATGGCGCCACAGTATACAATCTAGAAGATATGTTGTCCGCACACCATTTTGCTTCAGAATGTAATCTTTATTCATATTCATTTAGCATGACATAGGAATACAATGTCTTCGGAGCCTCACAGGACCCCTTCATCAGGCAAGGTGTCCACTTGTTACCTCTACTCATTCACCAAATAAACAGTACAATAGTAAATAAACACACAACACTGGTTTGTAAAGGCACACACAAGTCCTTTATAAAAAAAAGTGTCCCATCAATGCATTCCACAGGCCAATCACATAGCCCAGCAATGTAGATCCACGTCAATCATGAAGGATGATGGCTGCTGACTCGCCAAAAGAAAAAATATCCAAACTCTTGCTGCAAAATGACAGGTCTGCTTCTGAATGTCAACAAAGGGGGTGGAACAATTCATGACATTATGGGACTTGTTCCGCCCCTTTGTTGACATTTGGGAGCAAACCTCTCATTATGACACCTCTGCTCCTGAATGTTTTTCAGGAGTAGAGCTGTTATAACAACTCTGCTCCTGAATGTTAACAAAGGGGTGCTGGAGGTTCGTTAAATGAACCAAATTTTACTAATCTCACTCATCCCTAATCAAGCAATCTGATTAGTTGCTATTAGCCACCCAATGTTTTTTTTTTACTTTACAGGGAAGCAAATGTTTAAAGTTAAAAAAAAAAGATTGTTCTAACAAAGCAAGTTTTATTATAATTTTTATTTACAAATTGATAGTGAGAACAACTACTAGTTCAGGTATTTAGAAGCAAATCACAATTGGATGAAGAAAATATTGCTTTCTCCTGCAACAGGACAAGAGCTGGCTCTTACTGAATGCTAACACTGGAATCTGCTTTGTCTTGTTCTGTAGAAAACACAGCTCTGAATTATGACACCACCACCTGCCTGAGTGCTCTAAGCACATGATTTGTCGCTGCAATATTTCTTCTGTAGTATGATAGGTCAAAGAGAGATGGATTGCATGTACTTGATAAGGAAAGTGGAAGGAAGAAAATGTTACTGGTAATTAGGAAAACAAACCAGCAAAGTGGAGAGAAAATAAATAAGATTTAGGCAAAAAATGAATTCCTATACCTAAATTACATTTCTCAGAAAATGAGCTCATTTATAAAAACTGGGTCAAAGATTAGTGACAGTGTTGACCATATCATCCAGATTCCAGCTGTCACTTTCCTAGTGTAGGTCACAAAATGAGCACAACATCTAATTTGTTTCAATGGATGACAGTTCCATTACAAAGGGTAAAACAGATGTTGACCAAAACCTAAAAAAACACTGCTAGTCCAACCTCACCTAACCATACAACTACCCAACCAATATGAGACTAGAGGGGTCTATTCACTAAGCTGCCGTAGGCAGCCGAGTGAATGATCGACCTGAAGTGAAGTGAATGACCGACCTGAAGTGAACACTGTTTGGCTATTCACTTCAGGCTAGTACGGCTGATATCAGCCGTACATCGGCTTGCTTCACATGGCTTCGGGTCGGCCGAAGTGCAGAAGGAGTTCGACTCAGCCGATCCAACATCTGGATCGGCTGAGCCGACCCTACGGCAGGCTACTCACTGCTGTTCGGTCTATTCTCATAGATGCCGAACAGCAGTGAGTGAATAGCCGAATGCCGCTGAGCGGCATTTGGCTCGGCTGTTCTGCTCGGTCCCTCACAGGGACCGAGCAGAACAGAAAAAGAGTTTAAAAAGTTTTTAAAAAGTAAATAGAAAACGATTGTGTGGAGTTAGCAGTGCCCAATAGTTTCCTATTGTCCGGCGGCTCTGCTGCCGTCAAAAAAAAAAGGAAAAAAAAATTCTCCCCCGGGCTCTGGGAGCCTCCCGCTCCCGGCCGCCCAGGAGAGAAACACTGCTGTGTCTTTCTTTTTCTTTATTCTGACACGGAGCGATGTCAGAATAGAGAAAAAAAATGTTTTCCATTGGAATGCATTGCTACATTACTATTGGCTATTGCAAATTGAAATAGCCAATAGTAATGTAGCAATGCATTCCAATGGAAAACATTTTTTTTCTCTATTCTGACATCGCTCCGTGTCAGAATAAAGAAAAAGAAAGACACTGCAATGTTTCTCTCCTTGGCAGCCTCTCGGGGGGCCAGGGAGAGTTAGCTGTTTGGAGATCAGTGTCTCTGGTTAGTAGGTAACCAGGGACTCTGATCTCTCTGCAAATTTTTTTTTTTTTTTTTTTTCAATTACAAAATTACAAAGTTAAAAACAAATGTCTTTATACAACCAAAAAACTCTCTAAACAGATTAAGGTTACAGGTCTTTGAAGGCATTCAAAATTATGCAAAGTCTCAGAGAGAGTCTCGTACTTAACCACATAGACATACTGACCTATAAATCCCTGGGTAATTGTCAATTCACCCCAAATGACTATGGGACGCCATAGGGAAGATGGGTCCTCAACCATATGACATCAGCACAAATGTTACCTCCTTCAGAGCCCCACAACCATTACTGGCTGCTGTGACTATCCTTAAAGCACATTTCCACCTTTGCAAAGGTATTTTTTTAAAATATATGCCAGCAATGTACACAGAGTATACCTGAAGCAGGAATATGCAGCTGATGTATATGGAATCAGAAATTTACATTTTTTGTTAGCTTTTCTCTTTATATCCTCATAGAAATAGCTGCCTCTGCACTGTGCAGGCAATATGTGTATATCCCCCCCCCCCCCCCCCGACAGTGTATTGTGTGTAAAGGCAGAGCTGGTGTTTAGTGATCGTGTTACAAAGGGTGACAGGGAGGGGGGCAGCTGTTTATGGTCTGACACCCTGATGTCTGACTAAATTTCCTTTGGAGAAAATGTGGATTTTTTTAGGCCTAATAAAACCTTCATGAAAAAAATTAAGAAAGCCTGCAATGTAAGCCATGAAAATGAGCACACATATACACCATCAATGTACCTCTTCATTACCACAATACATGATAATCACTTACAAAGGTTAACATGGACTTTAAAATCTCGACTCGATGAAATAAAAAAAAAAAAATAAATAAATAGAGATAATTCAAAAAACAACAACCGCAGTCCCGTTCGCTCGTTATGAACTCCCGCAACATAATGTAATTTTGACAGATGGCGGCAACATAAAAACAATTGGGTGTAGCTAGTGGTGACAGCTAGCTCCGCCCCAACTTTTTACAGCTGTAGGGCATCTGACAGGGGAGCCATGATTGGGCAACGTCATCATGACTTTCTCCAATCATGGCTTACAGAGCACTGGACCCTGATTGGGCAAAGTCTTTCTCCTGACCTTTGGTCAGGTGGGTGAACAGCTCGCCGAATGCCCTGACCATTTGTCTGGTCTCCGAACACACGAACTGCTGCTGACTGTATATCTTTAACCATCACATACTCCTATACATACATATACTTACATATACTCACTGAAATAACAGGCATGTCAAAACTGACACTGTAATTGCTAGTAGGAGTATACCAGGCTGTCTGCTGTCTTTCACATTTGGTTCCATGCCTAACTTTTAGAACTCTATTTCCTTAAATAAACAACATTGTCTTGCAGCTGTGTAAAAGCACAGTGTACTATTCATGAGGCTCTGAGTGACATTGTCCCCATTGTGATATGTATTTATTTATGTACCTGAGTTGTATGGTACATTGCTTCTGAAATTCTGCCATGGACACACTGGACAATGAAATCAGCCGTACAAGACTGAAGTGAATAGCCGAACAGCATTGGGCTCACTTTACTTCGGCTGGGTTATTCACTCAGCTGCCTTTGGCAGCTTTGTAAATAAACCCCTTAGTGTTCTTTGTGTATTTCTTCCAGATCCAGCATGGGACTTTGCCTTTGTGCAGGAGCTTCCTCTAAAAAAAAAAAGACTGATTACTGCTGTTTTATCTCCTTGTGCAGAGTTACTGGTCTTGTCTCTGCCCCCTCCTGTGGTTTTGTGCAGGCAGCCTCTAGTGGATGGACCTGCTGGATCCCTACCACAGCTCTGGTCTCTGTACTGTGCACAGCACAGTGATGATGCCCAGATATTGTAGCATTTGGTGCACAGTCCTGTGTGTTTATCACTGATAGCTTTACAAGGTAATAAATGGATTTGTAAAGGCATTTGGCACGCAAAAAGTGGATTTATATCCTTTGTGTCTATTGAGGACTATATTTAAATAAACTTTTTTGTGCCTGGAGTTCAGCTTAAAAATTCAACCGTTTTTTAGTTGTGGATAGAGTGGAGAGGGATTCAAATACATATCAAGTTGTTATTGCTGTCTGTTTCTCTGTTAGTTTGAGTTCTCTGTCTGTCCAGGTGACCATTATCACTGAAATTGAAGGAAAATCCCAAATTTTGGGCTGTCACCAGAACAGGAATAGAGGGAAAAATATTTCAATGGGGAAATTAGTTCTGGTGACCCTTCTGACCACCAGGGATTTCCCTTTCTTTGGAGAGATTTCCTTTCACTTCCTGTTGTGTCCTGTTTTGACACAACAGGACACAGATGGCAAAAAAACAAAAACTGATAGTGTTATATCCCTCCCTTACTCTATTCAAAACTAATAAAAAAAGTTTTGCCTTCAACTCTACTTTAAGTTAATTTCAGATTTGAAGTTTATGTTTTGTAACTTCAGAACTCATCAACTACATTTCTGAAGTCAGCCAAATACTTGAGAAGACAGCAAAAGACCTTAAACTAGCCAAGAAACAATTAAATCTCACCACTCAGAATAAAGATGCCATGCGTGAGGATGGGAGCAGCAATCTGACAGACAGGTTCACAAGTTGTGACACTGAGGGACTAATTTACAATAAAGAGATTACTTGTACCGCCGAATCTCCTGAACTAGAAGAGAATTTATCTGAGAAAAAAGATTCACTTTTAAATGCCCAAAGGGATGAAACTGACAACACAGTTATAAGTGATACAAATGATCAGTGCTATAAAACCGACAGCGTAGAAGAAAGCCACCAAACACTGGAGCAGAAGGATAAGAATAATAATAGGTCATTACATGAAGAGCAAACCTATACAGTGGATGAACATATGGCCCGACATCAGGAATTAAATGACAAAACAGATCACCAGCAAGAGTATACAGGTAGCAAAGAAGAGATAATGGACATATCTGCTACTGAGCTCACGTTAAATGGAACAACTGTAAACCTCTCGCCAGAACACTTACTGAACGCTGATCACTGGATCTACAAAGAGTAAGTAAACGTAACTTCTGTTTAATGACTAAAGTCGATGTAAACACTGAATGAATGACATTTAGTTTACTAAAGCATGGAGTGTCATAAACAATTGCTCCTTTCTGTCTTCATGCACGTACTCCATTAATGAACAATGGCTGTATGGCATTTCTCCAAACTGGTTTCCTCATGTTAACAACAGTTGATCATGGCTGCCTAATGTGTGTTGCCCTGTATAGACAGGAATTGAGGGTAAATCTCTCCAGTCTTTCCACAGATTGCAAGAACACATGTTTTTTCACTAAAATGTTAGTATGTATACATAGGGATGTGGGACTCAAAGTGACACTAAACTCAGGCGTTAATGCTTAAAAATGCATTCAAGTACCGTAACTATTAACAAAAATGTATCTTATTTGTGTATCACTCAGCTGTAGATCCTCAAATCATCTCTGAATTGGTGCTGACACTGCCCTGCCTTCTGGAGGGAGGCTACTTTTGTTCACCGGGTTCTGTGTGTGTTGTAAATTAGCCACCACTCTAAGCTCACTCCCTTGACGGACTACAGTCTCAATACAAATCAGTAAACCAAATGTGAGATTGTAGTCCATCACAAGATCGAGCTTGGACCAGTGACTACTTTACAACACACCCAGGGGCCCTGGGGAACAACAGTAGCCCCCCTCCAGAAGGAGGGACAGTGCCAGCACAAATTCAGAGATGATTTGAGGATCTATAGCTGAGTGATACACAAAAAGGTTACATTTTTGTTACTAGATAAGTTACTTGAGTGCATTTTTAAGAATTCACCTAAAAGCATCAGAACTATAACAAACTGTAGGCAATTACTGCTGATGTGTGCTTGTCTGGGGGGAAGGTGGGGGTACTGGCAGTGTCTATAATAATGTTCACTTATTCTTAAGATGCTCACTGAAAAGCTTAGTTGGCAGCAACACATGTTCACAGGCACATCATTTTCCCTGAAGTGCACTTCTACCTCAAAAGACTCCACTTGGCACACCATCACCCAAAATTGTATATTCTAAAAGGCTGTAATCATATACTTCATACTTAGTACATTGGTATCTTATCATGTCTTTATAAATATGAAATAGAAGAGTATATGCATCTAGCTCAGTCTTTATTTAATCTTTGATACCCAACATCACATAATTTCCCTGCTGGTCTCTCACACTCTTCCATGGTTGCTAGGGGGTGTTTTACACTTCACCATAGTTCTCTTTCATTCCTCACAGCTCTTCCAGTGTTTTGTCTCACCTCCACTATTATTAATATTATTATTATTATTGTTGTAAACCATTGTAACAATGGTTTGTGCAGCACTTTACAAAATAAAGGAAGACAGTACAATTCATATCATGCAAGGCAAGAGGGTTAAGAGGACCCTTCTCATAAGAGCTCACAATCCAAAAGGTAGGGGCAATAGATACAAAAGGAGGTAATTGTGTGAAGATGAGTTGATGGAGAAGGTAAAAATTAATTTGTTACATAGACTGTACACTTAGATTTTTAAGATCTCGCAAGGTAGGTTAGGCTTCCCTGGATAGAACATTTTTCAGGGATTGCCTAAAGGTGGACAGAGTAGGAAATAATGGGAAAATTAGGGTAGGGAGTTCCAGAAGATGAAAGAGACTCTAGAGAAGTGCTGGAGGTGCCCATGAGAGGAGGTGATGAGGGAGTTAGAGAGCAGGTGATCTTGGGAGGAGTGAAGAGGGCAGTTTAGGTGATATTCTAAGATGAGTTTGGTTATGCATCTTTAGCAAGAGTTGCGGATGGCTTTGTATGTTATTTTTAGTATTTTGACTTTTATTTGTTGGGCGAGTGAATGTGAGTGGATTGATTGGCAGAGAGAGGTGGCGGAACGGGACCAGTTAGTAAGGTGGATTAGTCTGACAGCAGCCTTCACAATAGACTGAAGGGATGATAGCAAATGTAAAGGTAGTCTTATGAGGAGGGATCAAGTACCAGTGTTTTCAGTTTGCAAATATCAGCAAGTGCCAGTTTCTCAAGAATTACTTATTGGTAAAATTGATAGGTAAACCACAAGTGTGTTCCCAAAAAAAACCATAAGCACATAAACACACTTCCAATTGAAATTCAGGTGCCTCCTGTCTCCCCTTGTGGGCCCCACCAAGGAGGTTTTAGCCTTTAGTTTGCCGTGCTCCTGACACAAATAAACATTATAAATACTACCTCTGCCTTTCTGATGAAGCTGACTGCAAAACACACTGAACCTAGCCACTTAAGGTGCCCACACACTGCACGATTCTCGTACGAGAATCGCGGGAAATTCCGCGATTGTACGATAATCGTGCAGTGTATGGAAGACGTGCAACGATTTCTACTTTACGGTCGCACGTCTTCCGTCGAACAAGCAGGCTGGAAAACCACCGGGAATCGTACGATTCTCGGCGACTTAGTGGCCTGCTGGTTCGACAACTGCCCGTTTGCAGTCATCGGAAGACCGCCCCTCATTGCAGTCATTGCAAGCCCGCCCCTCAGGGGGGCAGGCTTGTCATGATCACAAGTACGATCTGCCTGTCCAAGAGGGGCAGATTGCACGTTTTTTTAAGTACTTTACAACCCTCGCAAGACAAAAGTCTTGCAAGGGTTGTAAAGTGTATGGGCACCTTTACACCCTACTGTCCAAACTGGCTATATACAAGGTAAACATTTCTAAAAGAGAAAGTGCATCCCTAAAAGAGGACGTGTCGGAACAAGGACCTTCTCTTCAGGATTTTGCTGATTTGAAAATTAGTTATAAAATTACAATAACTTGTAAAAGATTATATGATTTTAGAAACTGGGTTTACATCTAATGTAATGGTGCAAATGTCTTATCTTTTTTTTATTCTAACTTTGTTTTTATTTTTGTGTAATTTCTTTTTACTTATGCTTGTCATAGGTGCACTTTAAATCTGACAGAGCTTATATTTTCACTTCTTCAAAAAATGTGTCATCAAATGAATCCAACCACATAGAAATGTAATTTTCAATTTGACAATGTTATATTTTTCAGATACACATTAGAAGTCGAAGGTGAGGATGAAGAACAGTTGGCCTGCTTCATTAAGGCTCCTTCTTTTGTCCTGCAGAGACTAAAATGTAGATTTATTAATGAAATTAGCTCATTAGTGGTGTCAGATGGAGAAGAATTGGTCAGCAGTGTTTTGAATATTTCAAGTCAAGAAACTGATCTTAAAATCCCATTTCCCATCAGTATTTCAATTCCATTCAACAGTCATTATAGAGGAAGTTACAAGGACGTAATGGTTAAAACAATTGATGAAAAACTTAAAGCGAGTTATTTAACACCAATCTCTTTAGATGGTTATCATGGGAATCACAAGGTTAGTACAATTTTGTATTCATTTTACTTTATTCTTTGTACTACTAATGTTTATTGATATGAGTATTAATATTCCTTTTTTGGGGGAGACTTCAAATTAAAAGATTAAAAAAAAGAGATACTCCCGAAACAATGTATGTCCTTTTGGAACATGATGATGAAACAAATGATATAAAAGTGTATTAAATTATGATTATTTTTGCAGCTTCATTAGTTCTGGAATTAGCTCCTTACAGGCTTATATAAGAGAGTGCAAAGGACAATGACTGTGTGTAAAGCACAATAACCCAAAACAAACCATCTGGTTTGAGTTTACCATAGATAAGTGACATGAAGAAGAATGGCTTCCTGGCTACTGACAGACTGAATGACAACAAAGGATGTCTTACCTCTGCAGAATTATCAGTGATATTAGGCACATACATCATCTTCACTGGATCAGATAAAACCATATGGGCAGTGGTATTACCAGTAAACATCTAACTCATGTCAGTGTTATTATAAATCTTTCTGCTGATGAGATTGGTTAAAAGTAGCGACAATACCGAGTATTTGGGCGAGTACTCGTACCCAGCTTCCTGATTGGTCGAGAAGCTGGCCAATCAGGAAGCCGGGCGCAGTGTAATGACGCGGCGCCCGGCTTACTGATGGGCCGGGAAGCAGGAGCCAGCTTCCTGGCCAATCAGGAAGCCGAACGCCACATCATTACACAGCACCCGGCTTCCATGATTGGCCAGCAAGCCTTTACACGCTGCCGGCTAATCAGAAAGCCAGGTGGCGAGTCATTACACGCCGCCTGTCTTCCTGAATGGGACTTCCGGTACTCGTACTCGGTACCAAAATACCGGTATCAGTGCATCCCTAGTTAAAACCTAGTGGTAGTGGCTTCAGTGCAGTGCTCTATTGAATCTAGACTATGGCCGATAACCACCCAACACATGACCACAGTCAACTGATTTGAAAACAACTGATTTTTAAATAATGTGATCAGTATCACGCCTTTAATATTCCGGCCAGGAACACCTCCTCTAAATGGTTGACTGCTTGTCCAAAATGTTTTCTCCCCCTACCTGACCTCCCACATCTACTCTGGTCCTGCCCTCTTATTCAATCCTTTTGGTCCACAATATTAAATTTCATGAACTCCCACTCCCGTAAGACGAGAACGCTGTCCCCTGCCTTGTGCTTACTACACGCCCCTCCCATGCGCACAGGAGATACTCCCTCCCACCCGACCCGCTGGGAGCATCTTTGCCTCCTGACAGCAAAAAAGGCGATTCTGTGCAATTGGATCGTACCGGAACCCCCATCCATGGCCACCTTCCGCCCCCTGCTCAATCGCCTGTTACTGCTGGATAAACTAGATACGAAATTTAACCAATTGCGTACTAAAAACTTCTTCGACACTTGGACATCTTATGTGGCTGCGGAGTATTCCCTGCAGCAATTGCAAGACTTGATGTCCATTTTTCGCTTTTCTAACTGGTATCTGGAGGCCCAACTGTCTGGCACCTTAGGTTCATTAGATGTCCTCAGTCCCTAACATCCCTTGTCTTATGTTCTATGGTTCTCACCTACCGTACATTTGGAGGCTCAGTCCTCCTGATATGCCCACGAGTCCCCACGCCATGGAGATATGGTCCCCTACTCACGGTTCTGACCCTCACGGCCTTAGGGTCACCTGGTTATAGCTATTTTAGTTTTTCCACCCGCGATATAGAGCCGCATACATGTGTTCCACCATATTGTGATATGGGTTCTTCTTTAATATTGCTTTTATATATTCGTTAAGCATGCCTGGATCGCAGTATGTGTAACGATGCATGATCCCTGTTTCATGTCATTTTGGAATATGTATGTATTGACTTTCTTCTGTTTTTTCAATAAAAATCTAACATGCTAAAAAAAAAATAAAAAAAAAATAATGTGATCAGTGAGCCACTGGGGTTGATTTACTAACCTTATAAACACGCCACGAACAAGTATACACATCTGTAGTGTGTTCCCTCCCAGCATGATCTATTGGTGGAATCTAGACACCTTTGTAGTGTGTACACACCCAGCAGGTGTGTTGTGCAAAGCCCTGCATGAATTGCTAGGGGATGTTGGGTAAATTAGCTCTATGTTGTGTTGCTTGCGTTGATGAATGCAGGAATGTAAATGCATGAGCTAACCATTTTTGTCTAAACTGTGAAGCAGCATTACATATGCATCATGTGCATGATTTTTCCATATATGGCATTAGTGGAAATATGCTTTTAGAGACATTTTGGTTGATAAATATGTTTTGCTGTGTAAAAATCACACGCACCTAGTGCGTACGTGTGTTAAGGTTAGTAAATCACCCCCACTGTGTCTTAGTTTCTGAAGCTGGGAAGGCTTATAATATACTTAGTAGTTAATTGGGAATCAATGGAAAGCATTCTATTTCTGCACCCCCCCACCACCATTCACAGATATGACATGCTATTACATAGCTTTAGACTCTTCTTTGATTGTCAGAACAGTGTGTATCCAATAAACAGTGTTTTTTAAAAGAAAGTTTGCAGTCAGCAATTTGTTTATAGGAGGTTTTAAAAAAATAAATAATAATAATAATAAATTCTATACATTGCTGTACGATAATTAAATAAAATGGTATAGTGAATTTAGCATGTGTATACCATTGTGAAATCAACACATGGTGGCAGCATTGAATAGGGCCAACAGTTACACATTGTTGGAATCAGTCTAAAGGAAAGTGAGGTTTTAGTGTAAACACAGAAACTGCCTTTGACTAGCCACAACTGTAAGTAAAGCAAACAAATTGCATGTATATGCTGGCCCAGCCGTTTTTGCTTTTGAAGAATTCCCAATGAAATCACTGAGGCTGGAACCCAATTCTGATAAACAGCAACAGTGAGAAGAGGAGATTACTGAAGGTACTTTGCAAAAATGTCACAAAGGGTTGTTCCTCTCGTGCTTCCCCAAAAAAGACTCAAACTTGAATCCAAACAGTTTGACTGTGCATATGCCTACTGTTTATGTTCTCTGCCACTCATGCCTACTGTTTATGTTCTTATCTTCCACATTCATAATAATTGCATAGTGATATTGTTGTATTATCTAACATCTGTAAGAGAACTGCTGCTTATTATAAATGTCTTCTCAGGTTTATTATTTGTTTTAACCACTTGCTGACCGGGGTGTTTACACCCCCTTCCTGTCCAGGCCATTTTTCAGTATTCAGCACTGCAGTACTTTGACTGACATTTATTCCGTCATGCAATGCTGTACTGAAATGAATTTTATACCATTTTTTGGGGACAGATAGAGCTTTCTTTTGGTGGTATTTAATCACCACTTGGGTTTTTATTTTTTACTATATAATGAAAAAAGTACAGAAAAATTGGGCAAATTCTTTTTTCCTACGTTATGTTATAAAACAGTTATTATTACACAAATTTTTGGCAAAATATAAAAGACGGGGTCTTGTCGGGTAAAAAGACACCAAACATGTTAAGCTTTAAAATTGCATGCGTCCGCGAACTCGCAAAAACTACCATACCCAAAATTGGCCATAGGTGACGCTTCAAAAGCTTTTTAAGACCCTAAATGTCACCTAGGGACCCCCAGAGAAGCTGATGAAGCAAACACCTGCTTCACCAGCTTCTCTCTGGTTTCTGTACCGGAGAGTGACACTGAATGCAGTAATACACATCACTGCCTGCATTCCTAAGAGGAGGAGGAGATCAAACGGAGCTCGTGTACTGAGCTCCATTTGATCTCCGGCCTCAGAGCGAGTCACAGCTGCTGTGCTGGTCCCGGGCTCCCACCGGGCACAGCGGAGCTCGGGATCGCCAGCAGCAGCTGCGGAGGAGGGCGCACACCCGCGCACACCCACTCGCATATTACAAGCAATCGGGCGTCTCTACAGATGCCCGAACGCCTGTATGTAAACAGCCTAGCGGCAGGCATGAGCAGGGCGGGTTGGGACGTTTAAAAACGCCCACCCGCATTCCAGAAGCCGCTGCCCGGCCGTTTAATTACAACAGCCAGATAGCAGGTGGTTAAAGTAGATAAGATTGATCATCATGATCATTTAAAATTAAATTATTTTTTTTGGCGCCACTTAGTTATAAAATGCTTATTTTTCTCTGCAAATTTTCCCATTTATTATGACACCAAAATTATGTTTCTTTTGCAAAGCACGATAAAGTAATTTACAAATGCAACTAAGACTTTTTTTTATTTTGTGTATAAGTTCTTATGCTTCAAAAATAGAATACATGGAAACATAAAAACAATTTTATAAAAACAATTTAAAGAAAACAAAAATAACAAAAAACATGGTGTGAAAGCAGAACTTTTTCTACTTTCAGGTTTGCATCAGAAACTCCTGTGTAAATAAATAAATAATGTATACGTTTTAATTAACTGCTCCTGGGAGCAGCAGCTAATGTAAAGGTGCCCATACACCCAACAACCCTCGCAAGACTTTTGTCTTGCGAGGGTTGTAAAGTAATTTATAAAAAATGTACGATCTGCCCATCTTGGACAGGCAGATCGTACTTGCGATCATCGCAAGCCCGCCCCCCTGAGGGGCGGGCCTCCGATGCCTGCAATGCTGAACGGGCAGTGTGCGCGTGCGCACACCGGCCCG